TCTGCTAGCAACTTGACTACAACAATAGTGCATTTTCTGATTGATCTGGCCCCTTTTCAACTGGTAAATAAAAGGCTATGTAAAGTGTTATCAGTTTATTTAAGCTGTCCATACAAATCCTTTTAAAATTGATTCTCATTTTGGTGGTCTGTCCATGTTAACAAGAGGGAGAAAAGGACATAAAGGTGAAAGGAAAACGCCGGACAAATGTATCCCATGAATAAAGGTCCTAAAGAAATCTTTGTCACCGAGCATGGCTCCAACACTCGCTTACCAACACGTGAACAGGGCTACAAACTCTGATTTTAAAAGTCTCATTTGCAAAACACATAGTTAAGTGGTGATATTAGAAATACAGCTGGTTGGAAAACAACACTTCCTTTTCGTGACAGCTTTTAAGGCCTTGAAACTTGTTTTCATTCTACAGTGGGATGGAAACAAAACTTCTTAAATGTTTTTATGAAACAGAATTGTGTCAGAAGTCAGGGTTGGTTTTTTTTTGGTGGTGGTGGTTGTGATGGTGGTGGTTTAAATTCAGGTCTCTCTAACATCATCCTGGACCTAAGAAACCTCATTGTCTCCATGAAATGTTTTGGCTTTGAGAAAACATCGTTTTCATCAAAATAGGCTTTTGTTAAAAAAGTTCTGACCAGCTCTACTGTGAATTAGTTATAGTACATAGAAGGTTCCCATGATGCCTAATCAATGGGGCTTATTGTATCCTCTTCACCAGTGATTTAGGAACCATTCTGTGTATAGTTTTAATCTCTTGCTTTCTTATGATTCTTTATGCTAATATAGGCTATATGCCATATACACTCTTACACCCCTTCTAATTATGGTCTACTGAAAAGTCATACTAATTGGTGTGAATTGTGATGCCTAACATAATATGGAATATTTTATCAGTTTCATAAAGGGTAGTACTAACACTGGCTTAGTTTTTCAGTGCAAGATACAGATTTCATAAGGGTTACAGCAGAGAATTAATAGACACCTTGTCAGACAGTTACTGTTTAGGAAGGAGGTGCAGCTCATAAAATCTGCTCAGGTAAACTGCATGCATGGCGAAAAGAAGCTTGATGTCTGCAATAAAATTATTCTTCCAAACATCACACCCAACACATACTTGACTGCTGTACTAAAATAAACTCAATTATTACAGAATCTCTTACTTCCCCTCCCCAGGACCCAGCCACACCAAACGAACCCCATCCTGCAGTTTCATATGTATTTTTAAAAATTCCCAGTAGTTTCCTAGAGGTTGCTGAGATTAAGGGCTTGATCTTGCAGCACTTACACCTGAGAATAGCTTCACTCATGGGAGTAGTTCCATGATTTTTATATGTGATTATAGTTACATACATAAAGAGTTTGGAAGTTCAGGATCTACTGGCTTTAGATCCTGGGCTGAGTACAGAGCCTTGGTTCTATCAAGGTAGTCACAAGTGAAAGAAGATTTTAGTAGTCTCAGTATAAAGTCCAGATAACATTTGTTCACATTACCTCATTCTTTACCCTCCCTATTCCACATGCAGTTTGGAAGTGGGCTAAAAAGAGGACTGTTATTCTAATAACTTGGTGTTGCAGATAATCACCTCGAGTTGCACTGGCAGATTTAACCCCCTGTGCTCTGACATTTCATTTTCACGAGCACTGAAATTCACCCGACAAGATTCTAGCTCTTTATATGCTGCCCCAATTGGGTGTGGGGGCTGTAGTGGGCCCCTAGGGGGATCCCTGGGGCAGGAGCAGCATATGTTTAGTGTACATGGCTCTACTGTACCCCTACCCATACATCCCATCATAGAGGCAAGCCAGAACCAGATCAGGCATATCGGGGATTGGACTGCAAAGCTGTGGGGAGTCTGCCATAAGTTAAACAGCCTCTGAAGCTGTTGTAATTTGTCCCAGGGCTGCACTGATGCCTGGAGCAGTCCACAAAGGTGGCTTAAGGCCATTTTGTTCTTAATCAGTTACACTAGTGGTATTCCTGTGATACAATTCACGTGGCTCTGTAATTTGTTCCTCATTTGGGCTCTTTTTAAATAGAGATGTAAATGGGACTGCTGGTGGAGTAGTGCTGTTCACCTTAAGCAATGCTATCAGAATCTGGCCCAATGTTAATATCTATGGCAGAGCATGAGTCCTGGGGAGTGGTAGCCAATAATGATCTAAGAGAAGGGATTTATGAGAAGGTGTAGATATTTACAAATATTTACATATCAACAGTGTTAGTGTGCCAAGAGGAAGGAGAATGGCTCCAAAGCAACAAGAAAAAGTGCTGAGCTAGACGCACAAGTGGCTTATATAATTTGGCATGGAAAAAACTGTGAAGAGGACTTAAAAAAATGTTTTAAATGAGCATATACTGCAAGATGTAGGTAAAAAGACTGGTTGTTATAACAGTTAAAATGTCTTTCAGCAGTTAACATAGCAAACAGAACATTGGACTAAATCACTGGAATAACATCAGATCACTATGCCACTGACAAAGTGTCTGATATATTGGGCACATTTTTGGGTGCCTTATTACAAGAACTATAATAGCAACATTTGAAAAGGTACAAAAGAGAATAACTGGTGATAGAGATTATAACAAAGTGGAGACAGTTATCCACAAGGAAATCAGGAGGGACATAACTGAGATGTATGTAATTTAGAGGGGCATAGAGGCAGCAGAGGCCAAACCAAGTTTTTAAATGCCTCTGTTCTGAGATGATGCATCTTTTGTAAAAGGGATTTACCAACACTAATCCCGGTCTGGATTACTGGTTTAACTCAAATTAAGGTCATTTGTGCCTGCTGTATAAGTGTGTGTTTGACTTGGTTCAGTAGGTTAAAGAGTTGGACTGAAATTGAATGAAATCTTCCCCTTCCTTTTTGTCTCTCTGTACTAAAACGGTCTTTTACATCCATGCCCAAAGTGCTGGTGATAGGTGGGAGGTGGTTCTCTAGAGGGAACAGAGTCCTGTGAAATATAGACTGAAACGTGGTTACAGCATTATGTCAAGATCTCTTTCTACTTGAAGGCCTCTCCTACCAACTTCAGACTTGATGTACCCCTCTCCACCCTAACACTGGTGCTACATTGTCTCAGTTTGCTACAACCACGTCTTTTTGGAATGCAGGTGACATTGGGAGTTTTAAAGGAAGTGCCTTCACAGGATCATTCAGGGATCTGGCTCTGTGAGCAAAAATTCAGCCTTGTAGATTGAATGATTTTGAAATGTACTTGAAGGTGTGTGCTGGTTTTTTTCTGAAACTGCTTTGAAGTTAGCTGTCAAAAATGTATAAAAGCCCCAGATTTTAAGACTTGAGCTGTTGCTTTCTTTTTGTTTTGTTTTGTTTTCCCATTGCCCTTATTCAAGCATTATATTCCAAAGTAGGCATGTGAATATGTGGCCATGCTCCATCCTTGGTAGGCTGAACTGTCACTTCTGTTACGTTTGTGTTGGGCAAAGGAACACAAAGATGAATATTTCCATTCCATTTCTTCCCTTTCTAATGAAGGGATTACCCAGGTTTGAGGTGCAGAGTTTGAGCCAGATCACTTAGCATTCATGAAATAAGATTTTAAGAGCAATTTACTATGTAATCTACAGGAAAGGAAAGATCTCATATCAGAGAAACAAATACTATGTGCCTTCTGATGACTCTGTCTATGCATATAATTTTGTCAGTAGTAGTAAAATGCTTTAAAACTGATGGATGTATTCCCTGATAACTTTACAATTTGCAGCCGGTCTGACTGCACTGAATGCAGGCTACCTTAGAAATAACACTCTGCTCTGAAGATGATTACTTTTAGAAAGTGTGGAGCCACCTGCCTTTTGAAAAGTAGGACCTATTAAGGTGTCTCCATTCAGGCACCCAAAATCATTATCATTTTTGAAAAATTAGGCTCTGTTGGTAGCCTCTCTTTTCCCAGTTCCCCAGCAGCACTACTGCCCTGGAGCTGAGCTATCCTATCATAGGTACTTATAGGCTCCCTCTTATGATAGTATGAGAACACTTCACAATCTTTAATGTGTTTATCCTCACAACACCCCTATGAGTAAGGTCCTACCAAATTCACGTTCCATTTTGCTCAATTTCATGATAATGGGATTTTAAAAATAGTCAGTTTCACAGTTTCAGATGTTTACATCTGAAATTTCACAGTGTTGTAACTGGGGGGGTCCCAACCCAAAAGGCCATTGTAGGAGGGTCGTGGGATTGCCACCCTCACTTCTGCGCTGCTTTCAGAGCTGGGCTTTGAAGGCAGCAGCCATGGAGCTTCCTGCAGCCAGGGAAGGTACCCAGAGGTGGGTCTGATTCCCCTCCCTCCCCCCCAGAGTGGCTGTGCAGGGAAAGAAGTCCCATCCCTCACCAGACCCACTAGGACTAGTAATTAGAGCCCAGTGCGTGGTAGGAGCCCCTGGCTGGGGTACCCCAAACCCTTTCCCTCCTACTTCCCTACAATAGCTAGATTTCATGGAGGAGATTTGATTTCGTGGTCCAGGACGCGTTTGTCACAGCCATGGATTTGGTAGCGCCCTACCTGTGAAGTAGGGAAGTGCTGTAATCCTCATTTTACAGATGGAAAATGTAGTCAGAGGCTAATGTGACTTGCCCAAGGTCACATAGGAAGTCTATGGCAAAGCAGGGACTTGAACCCAGTTCTCCCATGTCCTACTCCTAACTAACATCCTAACTATTGGACTCATCCTTCATTCTCTCCTTTTCAAAATTCTAAAAATGGGAATCTCCAATACCACAAATTTTGAAAAGGAGAGAATGAAGGATGGGTCCAATAGTTAGGATGTTAGTTAGGAGTAGGACATGGGAGAACTGGGTTCAAGTAAGTGCTAGTTAATACCACAGGAGTGTATGAAATGCTAAGGTGGAAATAGGAAGAAAATAATAATGTACTAATTAATAAAAATGTCAAGGAAAAACCAGTGAAAGTGGAATTATATGTTGCTTTTTAATTTTTCCACATTACTTAAAACAAGAAGTTTAACAGCACTGTATTTATTTTTTACAACAAAATATTTTCATGTATTCATTTCCTGTCAGTTACTGAAAACTTCATACAAGTCACCAAGACCCAGATCGTTTAAGGTAGTTAGGGGCCTAATTCCCATTGATTTCAGTGGGAGAGTTAGGTGCCTAAATACCTTTTGAGGATCTGGGCCTAAATGTCAGCACCTAAATGTTCATAATACTGTTATTTGTAGCACAGTTTTGTTTGAAACCTTGGTTAGTGATTTAAATCTGTTATACTTTGTATTTAACATTCTTTGTTTTTGTCAGTGTAAATCCAACAAATGATTTTTAAAGGGAAAAAAATTATAAAACAGAAGAAAACATTTACAGGCTAATGGAAGCAAGGCCATAGTTGTAACACAAAATGTACAGAGTTAACATTGGAGTTTACCCACTTTTAAGATAATACAAAAGCTTTATTCTTTTTATAATTAATTCCTCTTTGCATCTGACTGTGCTTTATGCAACAGAGTATCAGAGACTGAGCTGTATCAACAAAACTACACAACTGCATTTCACTGTTAGATTAGGTCCATATTTGATCTTTTAAACTTGTAATTATTTTTTCAAATGGTGAACAGAACTGACTATTTAGTTTCACCTGAATACATTTTGTAAACTTTTAAAAAATATGGACAATTCTAACCAGTCACCATTTGAACCAGAAATTCAGGTTTTGATGCAAATTACGGAAGAAAAATATTAAAAATGCTAGTAATAAAAAAACATTTCCCCCTGAAAACGTATTTTAATGTAAGTAAATCTTTGACTGTTGTATTCTATACAAAGATCTACTTTAACATAACTGCCAGTCTATTCCTCAGTCTAGTATTAGGAGAAGTGTATGATATTAAATCATTTTATTACAATATTTATAACATTGCTTTTTTCTCTTTATATAAAAATCCCCCAAAACAAAACAACCTATAGGGCAACATCCTCAGCTGGTGAAAATCAGCATAGGTCCATTGACTTCAGTGGAGCTGTGCTGATGTACTGCACCTGGGAATCTGCACAGCAGCATTTAGCCACAGGAATTCCAAAGCACTTTGACAGACCATGTTCGCACAAGTGTTTTTCAGCCAGCCAGCATATCTATTACTGTATGCTGGTAACAGGAATTAAATTTTTGATGACCTTTATCAGAAGTCATCAAAGCAGTAACAACATGGCTTTTTAAAATAAAAAGATTCTATCAGATATTTAAATAATCTAACACTAAAGTCGACCGGTATCAAATGAAAACTGTCTTAAGGCTTACAATAAATTAAAATATCCTTTGGATTTCAGTCAGATACAATCTACAGGGGAAAATGGTATTCAGCATGTGGGTTTGGAGAGCTACCGTAGTGCATTTTAAAGTACTGTTGTGGTAAGAAATGAAACTTATTAAATAAATTATACAGTGATTTATGTAAAATTATAAATTGGTAAGTAATCACCCTGGATCCTAGCCACTGGAGTACTGGCAGACCATACATAGTGCATTGCATGTATTTGTTCATTGTCTGTGGAAGCAATTTATTGTATGCAGTGCACGACTTCATGCTGGCACTTGTTAATGGACTGGTGGTAAATCAGTCCACAAAATTCCTTGGAAACATTGAAAAAAATGAAGCTGTAATACAATAAAACAATAAAGTGCTTTAAATGAGAATCTGTGGTTTACTGCATTATTTCTTATTTCATGGTAGACACCAAAACCAACAAAATGAAAGTTGATAGTTCTCTAGGGTAAGTAAAACTGAGCCTGTTACTTACTGTTAGCCAGTACTTCCATGTGAGTTCAGAAATAATTTGTATCTATTTCTTGTCTTGATGTTAAAACTTAACTTACTGTGGGATTATGGGAATGAGTTATAGCGCAGGTTGAACTCGCACAGACATAAAGAGGACCATGAATATTCTCTATTTTAAAGTTTTCAACTTGCAAAAAAATGTGGATTTAAAATGAAGGAAGCAAAAGAAAGATAGCAATCTGGAAACAGTTCATATCCAGTGTGTATAGCCAGGTGGTTTGAAATACACTACTCAGCTTCTTGAAACAGAAATGGGCTGATGGGAATGTAGAGAAATCTGAGAGTTTATTCCAAGTCCTCTTGATTGATTACTGCTATAATATGGTTGCTTCTTCCATGGCTTCAATCCACCTGAAAAAGAAAAAAGTAGAGGAACCAGATTTTATTTCCTGGATCAAGCCAATGCATATATTAAAACACAGGGCTTAGAGAAGACCGTATTGCATATAATAGCTCTGTCTAAAGAGGAAATTTAGATTGGTGATTAGAACAGGGTCCCGAGAGCCAGGACTCCTAGATTTCATTCTCAGCTTTGCCACTGACCTGCTGTGTAATCTTGGGAAAATTACATGGTCTGCCTGAGAGTGGGTGTTGAGAGAGAGAGAGAGAGACGAGACCATGGAAATTGGGGGAGGGGAAACAAACCTCCATAATCACCCACTCTCCTGCCTGTATATTTTAAGGCATCATAATTTTATCATTAGTTCCATGATTTTATCGTGCAGCAGTAGTAATAAAGCATGTGAAGTATAGAAAATGTTCATTAAAGATCAAATTTGAGTCAAATACAATGGATTAATATGGCTATCCTTATAATCACATCTGACAGATTGCTACATGTGGATCTATGAATCTGAGCTTCTGCGGTTGCACCTATACAAAGAAACGAAATCTCCATCTTGCCAAGATGGAGTAATTTCTACCTGATGCTTTAATGCCTCTGACGGGTTGGATCACAGAAACCCCCTTGGGAGCTGCCACCTAATGTACCAAGACTACCCCTGCTCCTGTTTTCCCTGCCAGCTCAGGACTCCAGCACCCTGTCTTGCTGAACCAGACACTTCCGTCTGCTCCAACACAGACCCAGGTCTGAATTATGTGCCCCAAAGCTGCAGGTTTACCTGAAAACAGCTCACAGAAGTGTGCTTGTCTATAGCACTTAGACCCCATTGGGAGTTGGGCATCTAAACCCAAATAAATCCGGTTTACCCTGTATAAAGCTTATACAGGGTAAACTTATAAATTGTTTGTCCTCTATAACACTGATAGAGAGATATGCACAGTTGTTTGCTCCCCCAGGTATTAATACATACTCTGAGTTAATTACTAAGTAGAAAGTGATTTTATTAAATACGGAAAGTAGGATTTAAGTGGTTCCAAGTAGTAACAGACAGAACAAAGTAAGTCACCAAGCAAAATAAAATAAAATGCGCAAATCTATGTCTAATCAAACTGAATACAGATAATCTCACCCTTAGAGATGCTTCAGTAAGTTTTTTTTCAGACTGGACACCTTCCAGGCCTGGGCACAATTCTTTCCCCGGTACAGCTCTTTTCCAGCTCAGGTGATAGCTAGGGGATTTTTCATGATGGCTCCTTTTCCTCTCTGTTCTTTTTCACCCCTTTATATATCTTTTGCATAAGGCGGGAACCCTTTGTCCCTCTGGGTTTCCACCCCCCCTCACTGGAAAAGCACCAGGTTAAAGATGGATTCCAGTTCAGGTGACATGATCACATGTCACTGCAAGACTTCATTACCCACTTGCCAGCACACACACACATAGGAAAACTCACAGGTAAACACAGCCATCTGCAGACAATGGGAGTCATTAAGATTCCCAACCATTAATGGCCCGCATTTTGCATAATTACAATAGGCCCTTAGAGTTATATTTCATATTTTTAGTTTTAAATACAAGAGTGGTACATTTATACAAATAGGATAATTACACTTAGTAAATTATAAGCTTTGTAATGATACCTTACAAGAGACCTTTTGCATGAAGCAAATTCCAGTTACATTATATTCACTTATTATTATGTTTTTATAAAACCATATAGACTGCACAACGTCCCAATGCCATCCAGGCAATTGTATTATAATTGGCTCTAATTAGCATATCCAAAGATGTTTCAGTTTTATCTGTAGCTGAGGTGCATTCAAAAGGAAAGGAAACGGGAAGAGGCATGTTAGAGTGAAGAGTGCTGCTTACACTTTATACTCATTCATGGATTAGTATGTAATTGCAATTCCACGCGCAGTACCTCTGTGCTGAATTGTTATCCTCCGTGCGGAAGCTATAAAACAAGGTTTGCTTGTGGTAAAGATGGAAAACTGCATCTGTACTTCCTTCCTCCTTTTCTGGGGCAACTGTGAAACCCAGCAAAGGCAGACTCTCTGTGGCGACTTTATCCTAAAATCAATGTGGAGGGGGAAACACACTTTAGAAGGAGCACTTCAAAATGGGCTGCAGTCTACCTGGGGCAAGGGATGTTTTCCCAGTATCTACAGTGCCTGACTCCCACTTCTTGATAGGGCTTCCAGGAGCATCTGCAATAATAGTATTAAAAATGAATAATCTGGTGCTGGATTGAAAATCCTAGAGAATTACGTTGTCTAGTTACTAGATGCAGCCTTGGCAGCAGCAGTGCAAGCGTCTCTCACACATTGCTCTGCCAAAACCCTGAACTCAGAGAACCCCCACTGAGGTGGAATTCTCCATATCCATTCAGCCCTCGTTAGACTACTAACAAGAGGTTCCAATTTAGTACTAGTGGTTTATGTGGATCAGACTTAGTTCACCAATCTATAGGCCACTGAAGATCTGATGGGAACAATATCTGGTTACTATTATCTTTTGGCTAGGTTTGTATCAAGGGTATAGAGATGAAAGATCCTATATTTTATTACCAGTCCCCTAAGCCATTATTTACTGAGTGTCACCTGTGTTTGGTGGCATCCGGTTCCCCCTCCCTCCACAGCCCCAGCAGTTTTTTAACAGACTCATTTTCACTGTCTCACACAGCATGCTTGCTTCTAATGACACCACTTTACAATTTATGAGCTGGTAATGCAATTCATTGTTAATTTACTCCCAAGAAACATCCATGAATTTCACTTGTCAGAGAGTTCGCTGTACAAGTGGAATAAAGAAAAACAATAAGCCTTAATTGAATTGCGGTTTAACTGTTACTGATGGCTGCAATTTTGGTCCCTATACCTTTATTAAGGTAATGTTGGGGTTTTGTTCTTTGTCTTTTTAGATTAATTTAGTTTATCTCTGTTTAAGATATAGCCAAGGTGAAGCATACAATGCAGTTAGGCACCCACTGCTCTTTCACATCTCAAGAGGGGTTATCGCTAAAACCACGTGCAACCCTTTAAGTTTAGTGGAGTTGTCCACCCCATGAGAGGCAGGACTTTGTTCTCCAGGCCTGATTTTTCTGATGAGCTAAGCTGAGACAACTCCAACTGAAGTCAGTGGGAGTTATAGGTTGCCTGCAGCAAATCAGGCCAAGATGTTTTATTTTAACCCTAGAGGAAATCTAGGCCAACAGATAAAACAGAAGAATGGGTGTCAACATTACTATAGTTCTAGTCCTTGATCTGCCCTGACTTGGTTTGTGACGTTGGTCAAGTAATGCAACCTCTTCATGTCTCAGTGTCATCTATTTATAGGTGATGATAATACTTCCCTACCTCTCAGGTATGATGATAAGTTTAAATAGTTAATGTTTGCAAATTGCTTTGAAGGTTTAAAATGCCAAGTAGTATTATTACAGTTGTTTGGTGGTCTGAACTCTGTGCCTTTCATTCCACAAAAGCGGCTCTGTTTCAGGGCTTTCAGTTATGAAGCCCACCAGTCAGATCACCCTGGCATCCTCTTTTTCTTCAATGGAGGTGCAGTTGGTGGCTACCCTTCCTTTTCACAGGGAGGAGGGGCCTGCAGAGGCTGCTCAGATCAATATGGAGCATGGCATGCTTCCCCCTCTAGTCTTCACCAGCTGCACCTCCATAGTGAAGTTCATAGCTGCCATCTATCCCATGGGCATATCCAGTCTACCCCGGTGAAATTGGGGCAGTCCTCTAGTTCCTGGAAAGCTGCCATTTTGAACTTTGATGGGGCAAAGTTTGGGACTTCCTTTCTTTAGAAAGAACTCTTATTTATGTAACAGTCAGTTCTCAGCTACTATCTCACAACATATAGGTACTGCACCAGAGAAAAGTCAAAGAGGATTTTAAGTCTTTATATTTTGATATAGGAGTACTTGTGGCACCTTAGAGACTAACAAATTTATTTGGGCATAAGCTTTTTTTTGTTAATCTCTAAGGGCTGGTCTACACTGGGGGCGGGGGAATCGATCTAAGATATGCAACTTCAGCTACGCAAATAGCGTAGCTGAAGTCGAAGTATCTTAAATCGAATTACCTGGGGTCCACGCGGCATGGGATCGACGGCCGCGGCTCCCCCGTGGACTGTGCTACCGCCGCTCGCCCTGGTGGAGTTCCGGAGTCGACAGTGAGCGCGTTCGGTGATCGATATATCGCGGCTTAACGAGACGCGATATATCGATCCCGGATAAATCGATTGCTACTCGCCGATACGGCAGGTAGTGAAGACGTACCCAAAGGTGCCAAAAGGACTCCTCGTTCTTTTTGCTGATACAGACTAACAGGGCTACCACTCTGAAACCTGTCATATTATGATCCGTAATAGCTTCCTGGCAGATTAAACCAGGCCTCTTGTAACTGTGCATTTATAATCAGCATGAAATGTAACAAATGTACTGAGGCTAAGGAATTTGGAAAGCAGGCCATCCAGGGGTGGGGCTGGGATTCCAGGCCTGGGGCACCATAACATATTGAGGTAATATGCCACTGCAACAACACAAGCTATTTCCAAAAAGAACAACTACACAAAAACTAGTAGGTACACCCCTCAAATTGTATTTCTCACATGTAAGGAGTGGGAAAACAAACTTGACAACAGGACTGGGAAATTCTGTCACGTCAGGACAGGCAGTACCTCACTTGCCGTGTAGGTGTAGAGGACTTTGCCTTTGATAACAAACCAGAGCTTCTTCCAGTGCCTTTTGCCTCTCTTACACCTGCTGAGATAGCCACTGATAGAAGATCCCTCTCCTGAAGCTGCCACCTGTATAGGGAATAATCAAGGGATCCATGACATCAAATGCTTTTCCTCCTGCAAAGCAGCAAGCATGCCATAAACAAGGCCCATTTAAAAAAAAAAAAACTACACAGCTATTCCTGTTTCCTTAAGAATATAATCAAGGAGTGAATCAAAAACAGTGAGATGGCATAAATCTGAGAGTAATGTAAACACAAGAATGCTATTCTGCATAAGAGCATTGCAGTATTTATCTTAGGCCAAATATTGTTCTCACTGACACCAAAGAAGCCAATTAAGTTATTCTGGAACCCAAGTCATTGAAGCCATTTGATTTATACTGGTGCCGTTGAGAAATTGAATGTGTCCCCTTTTTCTTGCCTTGTTTTTATATATTCAAGGGTGCATGTTTCAAGAAGGGAAGGATAGTGTTATGGCTAAAGCAGAAGGGATATGGGTTCTGTTGGCTTGACAATGGATTTGTGGTGTGCACTTGGGTGGGCCACCTCTCTATGACTCAGTTTCATCTGTGAATACTCCTTTCCTCAGTATTATTAAATAATTGCCGCTCTGGAGGGAGGGAAGAAGTGTTGAAGCTTAATTCATTAGTGTTTGTAAAGATTTTTGAGATCTGTGGGTGAAAGGTGCTATAGAACTGCAACACAGTATACATGATTAATTATAATAATAATGCTGATATCTGAATAAAAGCAAAAAGTCAACTGGGGGAAGGGACTTGAAAATCAGCCTTTGATAACAAAGACACAATAGAGGAATTAACTGTATTTATAATATTGTTCTGTAGCAGGATGGCGCATGAGAAAGTCCACCAGACCCCGTGTAAGTCAACTGGGAATGGCTTTGGGATCAAGATTGTTATAGAAAGCTTCATTTTAATAAATGTGTGCTGCCACCTTGTGGTGAAAGAGGCAATCTCTATTTTTCATAAATAAATGGAGCTGAAATGTTACTTCTCTAACTTGGTTAACCCTGATAGTCATGTTGGTTTATGCAGTATCTTCCATGAATGTTTTACATACTATGTTTGTACATTTATCCGTGTTTCAATTCATCACAAACAAAGTTAAGAGAACCCTGTGAGAGTACCTTCCTTTCATGGAAGGTAACTACATGAACAGCACAAGGTCCAGATCATGATCTCACTGAAATCAGTTAACTGAAGTTAAATTCCCAGGATAGGGCCCTACATGTTTAGGTGGGTAGACAGCATGGATAGTCAGAGGATATTAATGAAGTCAGATTTTGAATCTGATGCTTAGTTCCAGAAGGGAAAACAATATATTTGGGTGAAATCAGGGCCCCGCTGAAGTTAATGGGAGCTTTCCCATTGACTTCAGTAGGGTCAGGATTTCATCCATTTATTTCAGATAGGCTAGGGAGAGCTACAGGCAACACAATTAAACAGTTGCATTCACCAATTGCTTTGAAAGGGCTACCTTTTACCTCCCCCACCCACAACTCACACTGACTGGATTCAAACGTAGTTAGTTCGATTGAAATCCATGGGGCCACATTGGAAATAAGGATTGTAGTAAGGCCACAGAACAACTGCTGGATGGCAGTGACTTCTGGTCAATACTAAACTCCTGTATTCAAACTAGTGACTTCTGTAACCCATCATTCTGATGCTTCCCCTGAACTTGTTATTACACCTTTAAAAAGCTTCTGGGGTTGATGTAGATGTTAAGATTTAATTTAAATTATTGGGAAAATAAAGGTTAAATGCTCAGCTGACTTGGTCTTAATAGGATGTAGAAACTATAGTGATAGCATCCGATCTTGAAGTGTTTTGTATTTTGCCCTATTACACTGAGTAAAATGTAATCTCATGATACAGAGGATCTAGACAGTGGGCTGATCCTGCAGCATATAGAACAAATTATAAACAATGAGATTGAAAGCTACTGTAGTGCCAACACACAGTCCTCTCAGGCTAGTTTCCTTGCCTTTTCTCAGGCAGCGTTGGTCCTACCTCCATAAGAGCAGAAGGGATCTTCTTTTGTTTCTTGAAGGATGAGTAGTGAATATTGTGGAAGACGGAAGAGAAGGCACTGCCTGAAAACCTGGATGAAGTTGGAGGGAAGCTCACACTTACTGGCCGCTCTACAATATTAGGAGAAATAGGAAGTGGGAAAGAATGGATTAACTGGTGCAAACCCTTAGGTTAAGTCTATAACAGTAGGTGTTAAACTCCAGGCTAATGCAAATAGGCAGTGTTTCCCAAACTTGGGACGCTGCTTGTTTAGGGAAAGCCCCTGGCAGGCCGGGCCGGTTTGTTTACCTGCCGCGTCCGCAGGTCCGGCCGATCGCGGCTCCCAGTGGCCGCAGTTCACTGCTCCAGGCCAATGGGACCTGCTGGAAGTGGCGCGGGCCGAGGGACGTACTGGCCGCTGCTTCCAGCAGGTCCCATTGGCCTGGAGCAGTGAACTGCGGCCACTGGGAGCCGCGATCGGCCGGACCTGCGGACGCGGCAGGTAAACAAACCGGCCCGGCCTGCCAGGGGCTTTCCCTAAACAAGCAGCGTCCCAAGTTTGGGAAACACTGCAAATAGGGATAAGAAAATGCAATGCCTAACCTATAGTTGCTTAATCTTCCTTTAGCTATTTTCTATCAAACTCCCAGGTTAAGTCTGGGTAGCAGAATTACTGTTCAATGAACTTTATGGCATTGCATGGTGGAAGCATCCTCTACAAATACGTACAGCTTATATGGAAGATGACCAGGAAAATAATTGTTTTATGTTGTGTTCTCACACTTAATGACCTTTCAAGAGCATTGACCATGTGTCTCTGCCATGTGCACTCTACTTATTCTGATTGCTTCCTGGGCCACCAATAGCTTCATTTTGGCGATGTTCTTTCAAGCCTGAATGTCTCTCCGCTGTGTTCTGAGGACAGGAGACAATTTATTCCATCTCCGGGACATACCCTATCAAGAAACCCTATAGCCCTATCAACGAAGACACTATTGTACCAGTCAGTGCCATCACCTGAGTTACAATCCTTCTGAGTCTCACCTGTGTCAATACATGTCACCTGGAAAATCGGAATGGAGCACAGCCCTGAGTCAGTACAGCCTTGAGTTGTCACGTGGCTCAGACCACTCTGACAGAGTCAGTGCACGTCTTCCTTCACTAAGCACTAACAGTGCATGTCTGCTATGCTGTTAAAACTGATGTGTGGATCTCTTTAACCAAGAAGAAAAAACTAAATTGCACCTGTGCCTAAGCCCTTAACAAAAAAGCTCTTGCCTATAAGTTGTCCATACATTTGACCTTAGCCCTGCACAATGGGAAATGCTAACTCCTTGCACTGAGGCAGATAGTTGTCAATAGCGTCTTTATTTTAAGCCAATGCTTTGCTTTCATTAGCACTTCACTGGAAATTACAGGGAAGCGCTGTTAGCTGTAAACAGCAAGATAGTACCAAGTATTATTGCTTATTATTCTAGTGCATCAAGAAGTCACAAGAAGAATTTGAGGTTCCAGCTCACTAATAGCTTCTCAGCCACCATGCAGCCTGCTATTTCCCCAGAGCTTGCATTTGTATCACTCTTAATACAGCTCATATCTATGTCTGAAGGAGAAATTCCCTGTAATGAAGCAGAACCTTCTCTCTTCATATGCAGGTAGCATTTTCATTCAACTCATCGAGGAATGAAGAGGACTCACCTCTTTTTCTCAGTTCTGAGTAGCAGCCGTCACAGACTTTTGCTAGTCGGTCTTTGAGGTACGTCAGGGGATGCTTATTTCTTGAACAATTTCGACATACAATCTGCCACAGAAAGAATAGCTATGTATATATGTACATTTCCTCATACCAGTGTACATTACCAAACAGATTCTCTGGGCTGGTTGGCAGGGGAAGAGGCAGAATGGGCCAAATTTGGCTCTTGGCTAGACCAGTATAAATAAGGATTACTCCCCTGACTTAATCGTAATTACTCTAGATTTCTATCATTGTAACTCGGAGCAAAATTTAGCCCAATACATTTAATTGCCACTTCATTGTTCTCCTTCAGTTCTCACCTTAAAATTCTCCTTTAGCATGATGTCTACAAAAAACTTGACAATGGTTAGGCTGCTGGTGTGGCAAGACCACTGTCTATCATGCTGACCAATATATACCCCCTGCCGGTTTGTCAGTATTCATCTGTTGTGCCTTGTCTTATACTTAGAGTGTAAGTTCTTTGGGACAGGGACTGTCTTTTTGTTCTATGTTTACACGGCGCTTAGCACAATGGGGACCTAGTCCATGACTGGGTGTCCTAGCTGCTACAATAATATAAAAATTAATAAGCATAATTGTACAATAGCCTTATGGTTGTCTCCATGGGGATTATACATTCCCTGGTATAAAAATTAATGCTGGCCATGGTACCATTAAACTGGAGTTGTTCATGCTGTTAATAGTATCATTTTCAGAAGTGGATTGGCATGTCATACTACCACTCTGCTGGCAGAGGCAGAGAAGTATTTTGTTTGTGAAACTGAAGTATCATTGAAGTAGGATTAGATTTTTAGTGGGACAGGAATTTAAAATTAAAATCCAGATTAAAACTGACATAGTGGAACATTAACTGAAATTGAAAGGTGGCAAATTTAAAACTGATAAAAAGAAATGCTTTTTCACACAAGGCATAAGTAGCCTGTGAAGCTCAATGCCAGAAACCATCACTGAGGCTAAGAGCTAAACTGGATTCAGAATAGGATTGGAGGCTCTATGTGGCTATTCAGAATTATAACAGAAAGAATTAACACAAGAACCAAGAACACTGAAAGGGATATAAACCCGCATGTTTCAGGGCATCAACCAACCACTAACTAATGGGGGTTAGGAGGAAATGATCTCTGGAGGCAGATTATCAAATAAGAGCCACTGCAGAGTTTCTTGTACTTTCCTCTGAAGTAGCTGGTGCTGGCCACTGTCAGAGACGGGATACTGGATTAGATGGACCACTGGTCTGATCCAGTCTGGCAATTCCTATGCATCACTCACTTGTGAAGTGATTTAAGAACAATGGCCATAGAGACTAGGAGCTTTGTGCATCTACATTCACAAAGCTTTGGAGCTTTCCATATCTAAAATGTAACTCAGCAACTGGAAAACTGGTAGTCTGATTGCTGCATTGCCCCAGTGCTACCCGCATGTCCCATTTGAAAGCTCTGCTCAGCAATATATGTCCCATGACCCTTTCATTTGGTTGAGTACCCAGTCTTTAGGAATTAGTTTGCCACTCAGCAGAATCTTAATATTGTTCCAACCAAAGTCACTAACAATCTGAATGCTTAATTCTCATTTGCAAAGATCTACTGGCAGTCTTTGCAAGGAGTCAGATTCTCTTCTCTGTATGCAGATGCAACTGTGCTGAAGTCAGTGCAGTTGCAGCTAGTGTAATGAAGAGGAGAACTTGTCCCAGAGGCTTTCCCTACTGTTGATGAGTCTGAGTGAAGCTGAATTTATGTGACACTTACCTTCCCACATGCATGGCAATGATGGCGTCTCAGAGTGAGGGTAAAATCAGAGCCGCAGTTCATGCACATCATGACGTGGGACACAGGTACCAAGGTTGGAGGCCTCTCACCCAAGGATATTCCCAGCCTTTCCCTTAGCTTAAAACAAAAAGTGAAGAAATACCCAGACTTCCAAAGCACACCCAGTTCTGCTAATGCAACTCCCACCTTACCTGCAGCAACATCTGCTGAACTGCGCTCGCCTTTCCCCACCCCCGTTTCTGCCAATTCACCTCATTCTTGGCACACAATCCCTATTATTCCTCTTTCATTCTGAAGGATCCCAAAGTGTTCCACAAACTACACACAGCAGCACTGAGATGCAGCCAATTCTGGGGGGTGGAAGGTGATCGCAACTAGTACACAGCATGTGATATAACAGTACAGCCCCCATCTGCAGCTGGTGTAAATTGGTTCAGATCCACTGAAGTCAAAGGAGTTGTACTGGTTTACACTAGTTGAGCATCTAGCATCTATGTGCAATTTTGGCTGAGACCACCTAGGCACACTCATATTCTTATTACAAGACTCATGGACAGTTTAATATCCAGGAAGAGCAGATGGTTTTTAGGTCTCAATCAAAAAATCCCTCATCCCCACCATAAGCTGCCTGGCACTCAATAAATCAACCTCAGAATGAAGAAGGCTACGTTGACTATTGTGCAGGCCGCTATCTTTTGGGATGGTTTTATGACCAGTGGATGGGACTGTTTAGAAGTCACCAAACTCCTTTCACTTGTAACTCAGACCATGATTTGGACCCAGATCTCCACAGAAGACAGTGGAGTTACTCTGAATGAATGGTATCCAAATCTGGCCCACATTTTTTATCACCGTTCGGCACTCAAACTCCTTTGCTGTTTATCCATATTTGCACAAGTCTGTTACCCCACCCAGGTAGGTTTGGTATGGAGAGAATTAGACTCATGCAGGAAGAAGGAAAAGAGAATTCAGCCTTAGCAAAACTCTTTTGGATCTGATTCTCCTCTCATGCTGGTATAGACAGGAATTACTCTATTGAAGTCAATGGAGTTGCACCAGTATAAACTGATTGTTAGGTCTCAATCAGGCCCTTTTGCTGAGGGCTTTAGTGGTGGTGAGTTGATGATCCTTTGTGATATAATTGTGACAAAAGCATTACTGATGGCTAGTATTGCTTGCTTACAGTCATCTGCAAGGCACACACTTATTTTTTGATAGCATCTAGGATGGTAGCCATACAGGGCTAAATCTGGTTAGTGTTACTCCAGCAAAACTCCCATTGACTTAAATGAAACCCACAGTATGAATTGGAATTGCAACGTTTAAAATTCCAGTAGCAGCCACAGCAGGCTGAATATTAAACACAAGTGCTGTGGTGACCTTTGTCATTTAGCCCTAGCATGGTGATTTATATAAAAATAATCAGAGTACTCTGCCATTAGGAACTTTTTCCCTTTCCTTCTTTTAACTCTTTAGATGGCTTTGCATCCTCTTAGGCAATACCAGGACTCATTCTTACCTCAATACTGTTGTGAAAGGTAGATGCATTGTGAGCTTTGTAGTCATCTGGAATGGTTCTGCTGATGCAGCTATACCACTCGTCCCTTTCAGAGCATGAACTGTGGAATGAAATACAGCAACACAATCAGTGCCATGAACTGCAGTGACTGAATCAAAAAGCTTCTGGATCAAGGGAGAAGGCTCCAATCTACTGAAATTTTGCTTCTCCTATCAATATGTTGAATTATTAATTCTTTGGCCAAGAACAAAATTAAATGTTGGACTTCTGATATTTCCGATTGGATTGATACCTAGGATGCTTGAGACATTGTGAACATGACTGGGATGGCCAAAATGCAGTCTGGCCATATCTGGCCCATGGATTTTCCAATGTGGCTCAAGGCCACTCTTACTGTAATATGGAGATTCCAACCTAAACCACATGTGGCAGCATTCAATGCTGCTTCTTTCATCTCTGTGTTTGCCACTCAGAAAGCAAGAGAACTGCATTCCAGGGCATGTAACCTCTGCTTGGGTTGCTCAGATCAAGGTAAAGTATTTCACGTTGATACTTGTCACCTCTGTGTTAGCTGCTTAGGTGAAGAGGGAGAATTGCATGCTGGGACATATATATATTAAAAATGAGACTGATTTCAGTTTATTCCATTTCAGGCAAATTAGATACTGCCCTCAAGATACTGGCAAGATGCCAATGTGACATTTTGTTAGAGAAATTTTGCATTCCCCTGGACTGGAGAAGCTACAAGAATGCAATCCTGTGATTCTTTACAGTGGCCACTAGATGTCACCCTTGCACCATCAAAACTAGCTGGTAGTGCATTTATCCGCCACTCCAGCTCTCCTGCCAATCTCCCAGGTCCTGAACTGAGATTCTGTGGATTACATTTAGGTCCCTGTGGCCTGGTACTTCAGCCCTGCAGGGAGTGGAGCAGGCCCTTGTTGAACAGCACCAGAAGAGAGCATATGCCCACATTGCCCTTAACATAGGGAGTGGGTAGACCAGGTTGTAGGAACGGTGCTCTTATAGGAGGAGAGTCAGTGACTGCATGTTAAGGTTCAGAGATTCTGCTGATTCCAGAAATGAAACCTGGAGCTTAATGTGTGTTGTCTTGCATACACAAAATCCCCATTTAGCCACTTTCCCTGTGTCAGTTTTCCTGCCAGGACTCAAAATTGCTCACCGTCTCAGGCTGAGATAGACGTAGCGACTTGACTGAGGTGCACCAGTATACCGGTGTGTGCAGGGAAGAATACCACTGTGCCAGGCTATGTAGCAGCTGTGTGCGGACCCCTCCCTGAATCCTGTCTGTACTATGACTTCCCAGTTTGGATTGGACCACTCTTTCTAAATTCTAGAAACATCAAATTAATTTCCAAAAGCCAACAGGGAGGCCAACATTTCCATGCAGGTTCCGGCAAGGGAATGCTGTACTTCATTCTCCATTGTAAATGGTGCCATGTTCCAGTTACGTCCGGCGTAAATTCCAACTGTGAACTTGGGTCAGAGCCGTCTGTGCTCCACAAGCTGTACCAGGCATTTACACTAAAGCTAAGCGCTCTTCCCACTGGGGCTCCCTGTAAAATGAATAGTGGCATTGATGCCAGCTGCTGCTGAGCTGTGATTTCCTTTGACCGTGCACAAGAAGGCCAACAAACAAGACATCTGAGAACAATTTGTCTTTTATAATCTTAAAAAAAAAACCAAACATGGAAGCACATGAGTTGATCAATGACCCCTGGTTTAGCGTCCCTGCACCCCGTGAGCAAGCACTCATCTGTGAAAAACACCAGCCTCTGTAAAACTTAACGACCCTATTGGAACAAAGAGGGTCCGGGACAGGTGTATAATACACACTGGTCTTGAATTAGTTGTTGCATGACAAAGAATTGCAATAATGTACATCACCTCATTGCCTAGACTTACAGGACTATTCAATCCCTTCCACTAGCAAAAGCCAACTCTGCTCCCTTCCCCCCAAAATTCCACTGCCAGTGCAATTTTTAGGGGAAATATGACTGGTTTGAATGGAAAGCATATTAAGCCTAAGATGCCTATAATTCCCAACCTACTAGCCCTGCGGTTCTCAAGCTATGGAGGCGCGGAAATGTGTCAAGGGAGGCATGAGCTGTGTGCCTTTTTTTAAAAGAGCTCCAGCTGTCAGCCCCCAGTGGCTGGGGTTTGGGGAGAAGGGCCATGCACACCCAGGAGGTGGAGGGAGAGGATAAAGGGGACAGCTGGAGTCCTGCTACCTGAGTTTGGGCTGTCTTCCCCCCTCCCAATCCTTCACCAGGAGGCAGCCTGGGCTGAGGCTCTCCTTCCTCCCCTCTCCCAGTCTCTCACCTGGAAATAGTGGTAGGGTTTCGGTTCTCAGCCCCGAAGCAAAGGTGGCAATGGGGCCTTGAGTCTGCTGTGAAAAGTGATATTGACAAATACCACTTTTCACATTGCCACCTTTGCTTCTGCACCTGGCCAGCAGCCGTTGCTTTGGGCTCTGCCTTCAGAGCGGGACAATGCTATATGTACTTGTGTAGCCGGGGGAGGAAGGGGCATAAACGACGACAGACACAAAGAAGGGGGACACAATCAAACAAATTTGAGAACGACTGTACTAGCCAAGACTCACAAGGCTTTAGTTATGTCCCCAGTCTCCAAAAGGTTAGTGGAAGTGGCACCAACATAGGTTTAGCCTCCTGAGCTGGGTAAATAATGGATTTGTCAGTTCCTTGGCAATTTTGAAAAGTCCCTAAAACATTTGTGTTGGGTCAAACAAAACGTTTTATTTCAACAACATTAAAACATTTTGTTTCAATTTGACCAATTTGTGAAGTGTTTGCATTTAAAAAAATAAAATGAAAGGAAATTTAAAAACAAAAAGTCATTTCAAAGCACAAAAAAATCAAAACATTTCAATTTTTTAAACAATCAATTTGGTGAAACTGACACAAATTTGGAAAATATTTTGAGGTTGCTTAAAATACATTCTTCATCAAAAAGTGTTGAGGAGGAAAATTTCCCCCCAGCTCTATCAACCTCTCATTTGCCACAAAATTCTAACCATTTGAGGTTCAAGACCTGGCTTTAAAAATAATAAAAGCATGGCTGACTTAATGGTGTGAATTAAAGTCATTTTGGCAAGGACAGCTGATCAGGGATAATCTGTCAATAAAAGCCTAATCTCCAACAGGCCCTTACCACCTACTCTTCACTCCATTAAACATCTCTAGGCAATAATCACAAACTGTTAGAGTGTTTAGTGTGAGGATAACACATGGCTGCTGGCTTGTAAAATGAATTATGTCAATTGGCACTGACCTGATCCCAATTAACTAGCTCACTGGTTGTATGAAGGATCAAAGGGATGTTTGCTGAAGTTTTGGAGGCTGAGAACAGCTCAGAGTGCACAACCCACAAACTTCAGTATTGTCACACTAGGCATCGGGAAAGATTTTTGGGGTCTAGCCAAGGTGACACATCATTTACTCTTACAGTAAACTTAGTCTAACAGAAAACAGAAGGTCAAATGTCACTACACTGTCACTGGCTGCAGGGGATATCTGTGCAGCAGAGAAACTGGCCTGGAATAGACAAGGTATGCATTCAAATTTGTTTGGTATGAAAATATGGGGCTGGAATGATCCCATGGGATTGGAAGTGATTCAAAACTAATTTTTCATGAAGATTCTTGGTCTTTCAAATAATACTCGAGTTGCTCTTCTTAGAGCAGGACAGGCATGAATTCTAGTCTGTCCAAAGTGCAGTACAGTAATATTAACTTTTGGCTTTGCATTCAGCATGCATCCACAGTGTTTGTCAAGGTTATGCTTAGAGAAACCACTCAGTAGGGCTTTCTCATGTAATTTCCTTGATTATAGTCTATTCAATATTGTTTGCATTTTTTAGGTTTCTCAGATTTGGAAATGATTTGATATAAATTTAAAAATGTGAAATTAATGTGTAATTAAATCGAGAAATTGTTTCTATGTCAAAAACATCCCCTTCGTTCCCCTTGTTAAAAAGAGTATGCCAGATATTTAGATAGTTTGTTGTAATAAAATGTTAAGGAGGGCCTTTGCCGCTCTCCATTTTCAATCCGTGCAGACAGTTTTCCTAGAAGGTTGATATGCTGGCATTGAGAAAGCCACTGCCTTTGTCCATGTGGCTCAGGGCAGGTGAACGACCTACCCCACTATTTATTACATTATAATTTGTGTTGCCACTTGAGGTCAAAAGGGCTTTTTGTGTTTTTACCCCAGATGCCTTTTTCTATGATCTCTCAGAAAATAGAGTATTTATTAGGAACAGACATAGTACCTGTGATCCAAGAGGTTGCCCTATTTGCATGGTCAGCTGCTAAAATAAGGAAAATGGCACAATGATTATGTATGGTTTATTGGTTTATGTATTTTTAAATATTTATTTACATGTATTTTTGTATTTTATAATTATGGATTTAATTGTCAGTTTTATTTGAATATACTTTTGTTTTCTGTATATGGCTGAGTCACTATTAATAAAAACTTGACTTGGTCTGGAATAGGATTCTGTCACTGATTGTAATGCCACTGCAGCCTTTCTGTATCGTCGTACTGATTGACTGCATTCTCACTTGGCTTTCTTAGGGTATGTCTACACTGCAATTGGAAGTGTGATTGCAGTATTCATGAGTGCCAATAGTCGTGAAGCCGTGACCGCACAGGCTAGCTGCCTGAATGAGTACCCAGGTTCCTGGGTGAGCTTGTACAGCTGCTTCATTGCTATCAGTACATGAGCTAGCTAGATTAAAGCTAGCATGGATATGTCCACATGTGCTGCAATTCCTTCCCCCAAAACGGCAGTGTAGACATAACCTTATTTAGGTTTCATATGGGTAAATCACGATCTGGAGACTTCAACAGCTGAGATAAGGGAAATTGGGTGGGTCAGCTTTTGTGGCCTGCATCATGCGGGAGGTCAGACTAGATGACCATAATGGTCCCTTCTGACCTTAAAGTCTATGAGTCTATGGGTACCACCTGCTTACGAAGCCATGTTACCTCAGGGGGAGGCCCAAAGCCTCCTGGCATTCCTTAGTGCCCCGTGGAGTGCACCCATGGTGCCATCTCTTAGGAGAGTGTAGCATCTTCTCCCATCTGTGACTGGTCAGTTCTGCCAGCCAGAGTAGAAAGGAAGTGGGGCAATAGCCAGGGCCGGCTCCAGGGTTTTTGCCGCCCCAAGCGGCGCA